TTTTTATTTTTTTCTAATTTTGTCAACACTGGGGGAGTAATGGCAGCCAATATTGGGCCATTAATGTCTGCTGAGATCTGGCTGCCAATAATGGGCCATTAATGTCTGCCGAGATTTGGTGCCAATATTGGGACAGTAATGTCTGCCGAGATCTGGCTGCCGACGTCCAACCGCGGTTAACACCACAAGAGTCGGCGCAAAGTCGGGCCAATATTGTCTGCCAAGTCTCGATGCCAGCTTTGCCAATACTGGGCCAGTGTTGGGCCGCGTTGGTTTTCGCACTTGGGTAACCGAGTGATAAAATCATTATATCAATTCAATTATTATTTTCAACAATTTTTAACTAAAATTCGTCTTTAAATAAATTTTACAAAATTTCAATTATTCGTAAATTTTTCAATTAAATAAATATTACAAAATAAAAACTTAAAATAAAATTTAAAAAATTGAATTAAACTTTTTCAAAAAAATTAATTTCAAAATTTAATTATTTATAAAAATTTACGCTATCTATATTGCTTTTAATATTCAATTATTATCTAAAATTTTAACTGAAATTAATTTTTAAATAGATTTTTATTAGAATTCAATTATTTAAATACAAAAAAATAATTTGTTGAATTATTAAATGTTTCTTAAAATTTAATTCTCATAAAGAATTTTACCAACAAATTTTTAAATTGATAACGAATTTTAATAAAATTTTTAAGAATAATTACATTTTTCAAAGAATTCGATTAAAATTTGTATTAAAAATAATTGAAATTCTTTGATGATTTTTATTATTTATGAAAATAATTGAATAGTTGTTAACAATTTTATAAAAAATTTTCAAAAATAAATAATTGAATTCCTGAGAAATTTGTATTATTCCCAAAAAAATGGAATTCTTATTCTTACGAAGATTTTTACAAAAATTTTTTAAATAATTGAATTCTGTTTGGAAATTTTATAAAAATAGTAGATATTGAAAATCATTGAATTGAGTGCTTGGATACAACAAGGGGACGTACGCTCGGCGAGCCGCTTTAAAGTCAGTCAAAGGTACCGTAAAGTGTAAAAAATGAAAATTCAAAATTTTGAATTTTGAAAACTGCCATCTTATAGGAAATAAAAATGCGCATCTTTTTTTTCTTTGAAATTTCTTTGAATAATTAATATTTTTATATGATAATGGAAAAAATGTGATTAATTTTCAATGTTAAATTTCATTGAATTTTAAAATATAAATCGTCGTATCTCCGACAAAAATGAATGAATTCTTTTGATTTTTGGTATACAAATGCATTTGGACCTATAGAAGACGACAATATCACGAAAATGTTAAAAGCAATTAATTGTTTATTGATTTTTAATTGTTAATACTGACCGGTCAAAAATAATTTTTTCTTATCTTTGGCTGCAAAAAGTATGCGGGGAACTTTAAAATTCAAACAACTTCCAGTGAGACATTTGTTTATTACGATGTGAAGAAGTTTTCTGTAAAATTGCAGAAAGATTAGTTTTATATTTACAGAAATACAATAGTTTTAAGAAAAATGCTCGCGCCGCCAACGATCCCTACCGCACAGATTTTAAGGTTAGTTGCACGGTAAAGTTTTATTTATGTATAAATATATGTGTGTAATATTTGCATTGAATTATTTATTAACTATTACATACTATACAACATAGGTATACACTTTTTTAATAATTTTGTAAAATATTATGTGTATGAATATAAATATTACAAATAATTCTAGCAGTATTTAATTAAATTAAGATTAATATCTGTGTTAAAAGAAATGTTTTTATTTTAAACATTATTAAATTTATAAAACGTTTTTAGATGTTAATATTATTGTTTAAAAACTAGGAAAAATTTTTATTTTAAACAATTTTTGACAATTGTGATATTTTGAACTATTATATTTTAATAGATATTATTAGATTATACTAGATTCAACGTAATATGTAATTAAAAAGGACATTAAGTGTTGTTGCAGCATATTGAGTAATAGTTTTAATACATTATAGAGTCGATAAAAATTGAGTTGTAAATAAACGATATACTAACAAAAATAAATATCAGAAATAATCTTAATTTAATTAAATATTGCTAGAATTATTTGTAATATTTTTATTCATACACATAATATTTTACAAAATTATTAAAAAAGTGTATACCTATGTTGTATAGTATGTAATAGTTAATAAATAATTCAATGCAAATATTACACACATATATTTATACATAAATAAAACTTTACCGTGCAACTAACCTTAAAATCTGTGCGGTAGGGATCGTTGGCGGCGCGAGCATTTTTCTTAAAACTATTGTATTTCTGTAAATATAAAACTAATCTTTCTGCAATTTTACAGAAAACTTCTTCACATCGTAATAAACAAATGTCTCACTGGAAGTTGTTTGAATTTTAAAGTTCCCCGCATACTTTTTGCAGCCAAAGATAAGAAAAAATTATTTTTGACCGGTCAGTATTAACAATTAAAAATCAATAAACAATTAATTGCTTTTAACATTTTCGTGATATTGTCGTCTTCTATAGGTCCAAATGCATTTGTATACCAAAAATCAAAAGAATTCATTCATTTTTGTCGGAGATACGACGATTTATATTTTAAAATTCAATGAAATTTAACATTGAAAATTAATCACATTTTTTCCATTATCATATAAAAATATTAATTATTCAAAGAAATTTCAAAGAAAAAAAAGATGCGCATTTTTATTTCCTATAAGATGGCAGTTTTCAAAATTCAAAATTTTGAATTTTCATTTTTTACACTTTACGGTACCTTTGACTGACTTTAAAGCGGCTCGCCGAGCGTACGTCCCCTTGTTGTATCCAAGCACTCAATTGCGAAAAGTTTTTAAAAATAATTTAATTTTACAAAGAATTCTATTAAAATTCTTATTAATTATGAAAATAATTGAATTCTGTCGAACGAATTAATAAGAATTTTTTTAAATAATTGAATTTCCAAGAAAAAATGCATTACTTTTAAAAATAATTGAATTCTTGTAATGAATATTGTTATTTATAAAAATAATTGTATTTTGCAAAGAATTTTATCAAAATGTCTGAAAATAATTGAATTTTCGGGAATAATTTTGTTATTTATAGACATAATTGATTTCTTTTGAAGAATTATTTATGTAAATAATTGAATTTTTGGGAAGAATTTGATTGAAATGTAAAAGAATGTAAAAGAATGAATTATTTCAAAAAAATTTAATTGAAATTGTATTTAAAATAATTGATTTCTTTCGAACAATTTTATTAAAATATTTAAAAATAATTGAATTCCTGTGAAGAATTCTAATATTTTTGTAAATAATTGAATTCTTCCAAAGAATTTAAAAAAACATTTTTTTAAGTATTTGATTTTCTTGAGGAATTGAAATTAAATTTTTAACAATAATTACATTTTTTTAGCAATTTCTGTAAAATTGTATTAAAAATAATTGAAATCCTGGAATGGATTTTATTATTTATGTAAATAATTGAATAGTTGCAAAGAATATTATTCAATAAATTTTCAAAAATATTTGGATTCCTGAGAAATTTATATTATTTATTTAAAATAATTGAATTATTGCGAAAAATTTTATTAAAATGTTTAAAAAGAATTAAATTTTTGTGAAAAATTTTGTTATTTTTGAAAATAATTGAATTTTTTAAATGAATTTTATAAAAATTGTTTTAAATAATTAACTTTTTCGAAATATAATAAATATTATGAAAATTTTATTTTAAATAATTGGATTCTTCTGGAAAACTTTATTTTTGAAAATAATTGAATTTCTGCAATCATTTGTAGTTTCTCTAAAATTCCCTAAATTATATCGTACAATTTACAAACTTTTCGTCCTTTTTAATCAAATTACGGACTTTACGGACCATTTTAAAAAAAACTGACTTTTCGGACTTTACTGGATTTACGGACCTAGTTCGAGCCTTGAATTATGTATTTTAAAAATAAATTGACTTATTTTACGAAACAAAATTTTTCAACGCCATTATTTCTGCTTTTCTTTTGATCTTTCAGAATTTTAAGTGGTCAATCTTTTTCTATTTGATTATATGTATGTCTGTGGTTCATATTATTTCTCAAAATAGAATAGAATAATTGCAAATTAGAAAGGCAATATTAATTATTACTATTAATTTCTTACTAAAAATTTGTAAAACTAATTGTGGGCATTAAAAATATTGTTCAAGAGTATTTTAAGTCATGATGAAAAAAATCCCCTGACATTTCCAGGTTTTCCAGGACATTTTTAATTTCCCTGACATTTCCCGGTTTTCCAAGTTTTCCAGGTGTTGTAGACACCCTAAATTATCAATTCATCTCCAAAGCCTTTTTTATATTTGATAGGCGTTTTGTTTTTAATTTTTTTAATCATTCTTTTGAAATATTTAACCCTCAAATTAAATTATTTATTTAATAAAAATAAAATATACAAGCAAAAAGTGTAATAAATTAAAACATAACAATTTATTATTTAAAACGAAATATTCCTACAGAGTTTTTTTTTACAAAATCATTAATTTAAAAGTTATAATTAATTATACTTAAACTCTAGAACACATAATAATAAAATGTTGCTGGAGGTCTTATTTCTGGAAATTAATTTTGCGCAATTTATATTTTTATCTTTAAACATCTTCAAAACTTATTTATGAAAAGGAAAGTAAAAAAAAATAACAATTTGATTTTTTGGTAATTTAAACAAAAAAGGGTCCCTTTCAGGAGAATCACCCATATCTTAATATTGAAACATATTGAAATTAAATTATTAAATATAAAACTTAACACTGAAAAAAAAATTTCTGGTTGGAATTGCCAGAAAACCTGTTTTTAACTAGAATTTCTTGTTAAATATGTCCTAACTAGATTTATTCTGGTTAGATTAAATATACCCTAATCAGAAATTTTTTTTCAGTGAAATTATTATTAAATAACATTATTTTTTGCTTCTTTTTCAATGAACTTACCGCTGTTTTCGCTGTTCTAAACTTAAACCTTTATTGCTTTCTTGTTCGCCTGCAGTTTTCTTAACATTCTTTTTCATATTTTTTGCACGTGCCAATTCACGTTGATTTCCACCTGAAATAAAATATTTTAATTAAAAAATGCATCTTTGAATAAAATGTGTTGTAAGAAATATTTTCCATATTTTCTTTGTATTTGCAAATATTTTTCGTTTTGAAATAATAACACATGGAGTTTAAAATATTTGCAATATTTTCAGATTTTTTCCTTATTCAGGCATCAGAGGAAAATATAAATAATCCAAATATTGTAAACAAATGAAATATATGACAATACATTCTGAAATTTAGAGAAAACTTTTTTAAAAAAATGGTTTAGTCTAACCTAAATTTAAAACAATTTATAAGAAAATAGAAATAACAAATAGACTCATAAAATTCTCTTTTTTCTCCTTTTTTAGAATTCAAAAAATCGAATAAAACTGAGTTATTATTATCGACTATTATTGGAAAGTGACACGTTAGAAGACAAAAAAAATATGGAGGACACAGTTTATCTTGAATTCTGATATCAATTTTTTCTATTTTCTATGAAAAAATTATTATTATTTACTTCAAGTATGAAATAGATAATTTAAATTAATTTCCAGAATTTAAGAATATCGTTTCAAAATAAATTGCATGGAAGTTTGAATATTTCTATATGTATATTAAAAGTAAAGTCACTGAAATGTCCTTTAGAAAATGAGTATACAAACAAATAGACAAAATATGTTGATATTATATACTTACGGGTCATGTTTTTTGTTTCTTGATCTCCGATTAACAAGTAATTTTGATCAAATTACAAGAAATATTGTCTACAAGTGTAGAATTTTAGAAAATCGAACAATAAATGTTGCTTTTCTGGAGTAATGAAAGACAACAAGCAGAGTACCAATTTGTTTAGTGTTTTTCTCTGTCTTGCTCAGTTGGTATCAATATTGACAATTTTTATTATCGACTGTAGAGAACGACAGCGCGCCGCCTCGACATCTAGTCGGTAAAGTTGGTAACTATATTAATTTCGAATATTTCGAGTATTTCGTCCTTTTCCGAGAGTTTTCTCTGCTTTTAAAATCTCTTTAAATTTTAACTTCATCTCATCCCTCATCTTTTTAACGTTTTTAACAGAAAAAGGTATTTAATACCTTTGAAAAAAAGAAATTTGAGAATGTAAGTACATACTTATTATATCGAAGATCTTAATTAATTGTATGAAAAAATTAATCTTTTTATGACAACATAACCTTAAAATATATAGAAAAATTTCTTGTCTACTTTTATAAATTTACCGCAGTTTTTAGCTTTGAGTTGCTAGTTTATAAATAAGATACCTAATAAATTTAAACAAAAAAGTGCACTTTTAATTAAAATTCAAAATTTCTTTCCATTTTTTTTTAAATTTTATATTAATTTTACACAATATTCACAACATTGTACTTTAAAGTTGATGATAAAGTTAATTGGTATATAAATTAAAAAATTTTCGAATATCGATAAATTGTTAGAATTACTATTCTTATTTTTTTTTAGTAAATCAATTTGTAAACATTTTTAAAAAGCCGGTTCAAACGCCGGCAATCCGGTTCAAGCAGTTCTCGAAGCTTCTTTCGCCATTGATCATGATTTCTGTTACTGTTGGAGCAAGTAAATATAATTTTTATTCATTTTTTGTTCATCAATTTTTTACACTCAACAATTAAAATCCCTTTTTTTTCGGAGTTTAGGTTATACCTAGAACGCAATTGAAAAAATTTTCGTAATCCACGAATTTGTTCAAGATTTTTTGTAGTTTCTCTATAATTTTTGTTTTAAATTTACTTCTGTAAATCTACATTGTACTAAATATAATCTAGTAAATATAATTTATTTCCATTTTTCGGAAATTAACATGCAAATGGAAAGAGTAATGATTAGATTAAAGTATCTGTATATATCGCAATTATTTCGCCATGAGGATATATTACGAATCATTCTTTTTAATATTATGTTTTTCAGTTCAAAAACTATTTGCGAGGAAATCTACAGTGGAAATTGGAACACGTGTTTTATCAACAATGGCAGACGCTTTGAAAACTCACGAGGTGGTTCCCGATGTTATTGATAAAGTTCCCAATTCAGTTCTCGACGTGACATACGCCAATAATCTAAAAGTTGAAATTGGCAAGGTTCTTACACCAACGCAAGTCAAGGATCCACCCTCTGTTAAGTGGGATGCTGAATCTGGAGCATTTTATACTTTATGCATGACTGGCAAGTCAATTCTGCATTATTTTAATTATTTTCTAATCATTTCGAATACATTCAAATTTCCATTCGATATTGAAAATATTGAATATTATTTATTACTAGCCAAACTATCCGCGCGCAAGCGCGCGGGAATGTTGTATTGCACTGTTTATTGTAAACAATTTCAAGTCATTTTAATTTAAGTAATTTTTAAAGAAATACTTATTATGACACATAACTGAAAAACTAATTAGAATTAAATTTTCAAATTATATTATATTTTTAAACTTCAAAGTACATAAAAAAAAACTTTAACAAATTTTGATACTAATTTCAAATTTTACATCAGATTTTCAAAATTGAAAACTTCTTGTACGAGGTAAATTGAATTTCGCAAAAATTGATATTTAATACCTAAATTAAAAATAATCTTCAACTTTCTGAACAAAGAATATAAATTATATTTTTTTTAGAGAATTTCCACTATTTTAAATTCGCTAATTTTCAAAAAAATTTCGAAAAAATCAATTATTTAGCAAAATTTTATGCAATTTATTTTTTACAATAATTTAATTACTTTCACTAATAATAAAATTTTTCATGAAAAATCAATTTAAAAAAAAAGTTTTGATTAAATTCTAAGCAAGAATTTAATTATTTTCATAAATAATAAAACTCATCGAAGAATTTCAATTATTTTCATTACTATTTTAAATTAATAATCGAAAAATTCAGTTATTTTCACAAATAAAGTTTTCACACAAGAATTGAATTATTTTAAATAATAAAATTTTCATAATATTTATTATATTTCAAAAAAAAATAATTATTTAAAACAATGTTTATAAAATTCTAATTAAGAATTCACTTACTTTCAAAAATAATAAAATTTTTTACAAAAATTCAATACTTTTTAAATATTTTAATAAGCTTTTCCTCAATAATTCAATTACTTTCAAAAATAATAAAATTCTTCTCTGTAATTCAATTATTTTTGAGAATTATAATAAAATTCTATTCAAATTAAAAACTATTCAATTATTTTCATAAATAATAAAATTTATAGCAGGATTTCAATTATTTTTAATACAATTGAATTGCTCAAAAATTTAATTATTCTTAAAAACTTAATTTCAATTCCTCGACAAAAATAAATTATTTAAAAAAATGTTTTTTTTTAAATTCTATGAAAGAATTGAATAATTATTTTCAAAAATTTAATAAAATTGTTCGAATGAAATTAATTGTTTTAAATACAATTTTAATTAAATTTTTTTGAAATAATTCAATTTTTTAAAATTTTAATAACATTTTTTCTAAGAATTCAATTATTTACACAAATAATTTTTCGAAAGAATTCAATTATTAAAGATAAATAAAAAAATTACTCCCGAAAATTCAATTATTTTGAGGTATTTTAATAAATTTTTCTTTAAAATTCAATTATTTTCATAAAGAACAATACTATTCATCACAATAATTCAATTATTTTTAAAAATAATAAATTTCTTCTTGAAAATTCCATTATTTTAAAAAATTCTAGTAAATCGTTTGCAAGAATTGAATTATTTTCATAAATAATAAAATGTTTTTTAGGAATTTAATTATTTTCAACAAAATTCAATCAAATAAATTTGTCCTGAAAACATTGAAAATTTTTAAGGTCCTGAAAACATTCTAAGTTGAAAAAATTTAATAAAATTTCCCACAGACATTCAATTATTATTGACAAATTTGTAAAATTTAATTATCTTTAAAAACTTTTCGCAATTCAATGATTTTCAATATCTACTATTTTCATAAAATTTTCAAATAGAATTCAATTATTTAAAAAATGGTTTGTAAAAATTTAATTCTTTTCATGAATAATAAAAATTTTCATCAATTCAATTATTTAAATTAGAATTTGCATAAAATTATTCGAAAGAAATGAATTATTTAAAAATTTTTATAAAATTCTTCGCAAGAATTAAATTATTTTAAATTCTTTCATGAATAATAAAATTCGTAGCAGAAATTCAATTTATTAGCAGGATAAGAAAAAAGTAAATATTTTTGATGAAAATTAGGAAAAAGTCAGGAAAATAAAAAATATGGAATGGAAATTTTGTCAATTTTGTGAAATGAATAAAACGAGTTTTTTTTTCGTTTTTTTTTTTGACATTAAAAAAAATGAAAATAACACACAAAAATTAATATTCAAAACAAACAAATGAATGCAGATAATTTGCTAACGGAAAGGAAACTTACGATTATTATAATGTATTTATATTTATATAGAAAATTCAAAAGGTTTTGAAAATTCAAGTGTATTTTCAATAATAATGATCGAATTTTTGTTAATAAATTACTTCTTTTTCAAGATCCCGATGCTCCGAGTCGTAAAGAGCCAAAATTCCGTGAATGGCACCATTGGCTCGTTGGAAACATTTCTGGCAATAATATTGCGAGTGGTGAAACTCTTTCTGAATATGTTGGAGCTGGTCCTCCAGAGGGAACAGGTCTTCATCGTTACGTTTTTCTGATTTACAAACAATCGGGAAAATTGACATTCGACGAGAAGCGTTTGACAAATCGAAGTGGCGACAATCGCGGAGGATTTGCTATCAGAAAATTCGCTTCCAAGTATAAATTGGGTGATCCAATTTATGGAAATATGTTCCAAGCTGAATGGGACGACTATGTTCCGATTCTTTATAAACAACTTGATGGTTAAATTTTATACGAAAATGTTACATATAAAGACGCTTCCAATTGTCATCCAAAATGTAAATTACGTAACTTTTAACTTTGAAAGACAATTTTATACAGATTTTATGGAAAAGTTTTTTAAGATTTCAAATAAATTTTTCAATTCTTCATTTCTTAGTTTTGTCTATAATTCATTCGAGTTAATTATATAATTTTTTTATGCTCAATTGCTTTTCCTTTCCGTAGTCCCAAGGACCTTTTTTTCTCAATTTAATTTCTCATTTTTTCTCTTCTCATAACAGTATAATTTTCTATTTTCAATTAGATACTTAAGATCTAGCTATATTCGTAAAGAAATTAAAATTAAAATCGAGTACACTCAATTTATATGAAGAGTAAATTTAGTAATGAATACATTGTCCTTTTTTTCTTGAATGTCGCCAATTAACTTTCATGACAATGAGAAAATTTAAAATTTGCAGTTTTGTGTAGAGAGAATCAGGAGTACTTATTCACTTACAATAATTTAGTAACGATTCAGTATTAAATATGACAGGATTCAGAGTTTATCTCTTCTTAACAGGTAAAAACACTTTTGCATTAATTATCACAATGTATAATTAATTGTTGAATCAATTGATTCTGAAAAAATATTTCCTAGGCATTTTACTTTCAACGATCGGATTTTCGATTGGGAATATTTTATCCGAATTTCATGAAACTGGTGTCGTACCTGATGTTTTAGATAAAGCGCCAAACGAGAAGCTTGAGGTAATTTTTTTTATTTATAATATAAAAATAAATAAAAAATTAGTCAATTTTAGACTTTTGGTAATTTTTGACCGTTTAATTCAAATAATCACAAAAAGATAATATTTTCTTTTTTTAGGTTCTTTATGGAGACAAAAATCTCACTTTCGGAGAAGAATTGACTCCTACTTTAGTGAAAGATGTACCAACTGTAAAGTACAATCATGAGGGCAGTGAATTTTATACTTTAATTATGACAGGTAAATATCGAAAAAATATTTTTTTATACGTAATTTTGATATAATCATAAAAAATAATTTTTTAGATCCTGACGTACCAACCAGAAAAACTCCAATTATGGCTGAATGGATTCATTGGCTGGTGGTCAATATTCCAGGCGATGATGTCTCTAGAGGGGAGAATTTAGTGGATTATACTGGTGCACGTCCCCTTCAAGGAGCTGGTTTTCATAGATATGTTTTCCTAATTTATAAACAACCTGGAAAACTGCACTTTCACGAAAAGCATTTGAAAAATCACGAGGAAGCGACACACGAAAAATTTTCAACTAGAAAATTTTCTGAAAAATATAATCTTGGCAATCCACAGGCTGGAAATATGTTTCAAGCAAAATGGGACAATTTTGTTCCAATTTCATATCATCAGCACAGAGCATAAGTTTTTTCATCAAAATACATTTTTTATGGGTAATATCAGTAAATAATTTTTATTGTTCGGGGAAATCTTAATAATATTACTTATAATTAATTATTAATACAATTGAATTTTTTATTCAATAAATAAAAATAATTTTTAAAAGTGAAGATTAAAGTAAATATTTTCAGACATAAACTTAATTAAGATGTAATTTTTTTCGGAAAGTGTTTATTTCGATCCAGTCGATTAAAATGGATTTTAGAGGTGATTTGATAATGATAATTATTTGATGAATTTTAATTATAAACATAATTTTTAATAAAGTAAATAATAATTAAAGAAAAATAGATTTCAATCTCACTAAATTTTACTGTATTAAATTAAATAGGCTGAATAATCTTATTTTCCGGGCTTAGGTTACTTGTGATTACATGATTGTCTGTGATTATCTTGAAATTGTAACTAATGCCAGTTTCCGTTTTTGTATTTCCAAGGAATTGACCTCGTTTAATTATTTCATTTAACTTTTGCTAGAAAGATTTTTCTTTTTCTGAATTACGTAGGCATTTCAAGTATTTTCTTTTTTTGCCTCTTTCGTACGTACAGAAAAAATTTTATAAAATTATTTTTGTGTTTATTAATAAACACAGCAGATATTTTTCTTTTTATGTGAAATTATTTTCTCGAGAAAGAAATTTTTAAAAAAATTTTGCAGGAAAAGGTTTTTTTATAAATAAGGAAGAATAAAATTGAACAAGTTTAGGTATTCTTTAAAGTTAATTTTTTTTCTCTGCGTTTTATTTATAAATATTTAATTTTATTTTAAGAAATGAAAACAAAAAAAGAATTCGTTTTTAATGTTCTTCAAAATTTGACAGCATTTTCTGATAATTATATAATTTGATATAATTTAACTGTAAACGGAAAAGAATTAAAATAAAAGTGCGGGTGGGGATTGGTAAGAGTAGGAACGTAAATTACTTAATCCTGGGAATGAGCAGCTTGTCCACAGTAATAATTTCGTCACCGGCAAGAATGTATCTTTTAGTAACAGGTATTACATTCTCATAAGATCAATATCTTATATAGTTAAATAATTTTTAATTTCCATACTTTGCATAATTTTAATTTTTACTTTAATTTATTGGTGATAAATTCATATAATATTAAAGTAAATTATTTTTTTTATTATAATAATTATTTTATTTTATGATATCTTTTTTTGAATTTAGTACTTATTCAACAATTTCCTTTAGTTAATTTAATCTATTAATATTTTATTTTTTTACAGGAATCGTGCTCTTTATGAGCGGCATTTCATTGGCTGATGTTCCATCTGATTTAATGAAGAATCAAGTTGTTCCTGATGTTATAAACAAAGCGCCCGTTAATGAAGTTGAGGTAATTAAAAGCAGAAAAATTATTTTTTGATTTTCTCGATTCTGTTTATTGACTTTTTCTACTTATCTTCATTGGCGAATTTGATAATAAAAAATGAGTCGTTTTTTAAAAATGTTATTCTGATATTACAATTAATTACTATTGTAAAAAATTAAATATTAATTAAATATAATATTTCAGGTGGAGTATGGAAAGAAAAAAGTTCGAGTGGGAGAAGAATTGACTCCAACAGAAGTGAAAAATGCACCGGAAATTGATTACAAGGATGATGATGACGCTTTGTATACATTGATCATGACTGGTAGAAATTTGTCCTTGATTTATATTTTATTTCACACTAAAAATATATAGCAAGTATCAATTATAAAATATTTTATATTTATTTTTATCGAGCTTAAAACAACTCGAGAGAAATTATTTTTAAATTCTTATAATTTGTTTATTATTTTATGCGGAAATAAATTTTACTTATTTACTTTTTTCTACATTTAATAAATAAAAATACAATCAAATACTACAAAATTTTTATTTGAATTTCTAGGATAAATAAAAATTTTGCAAAAATAAATAATCGTGTGAAAGAAGTTTAATTTAGTTAAATAGTTTTTGATAAGTTTTTAAATTTTATAGATCCCGATGCGCCAAGTCGACAAACTCCTACGAATCGAGAATTCGTTCACTGGCTGGTGGGAAATATTCCCGAAGATGAAGTTTCCAAGGGTGATGTTTTGGCACCATACGTCGGCTCAGGTCCACCAAAAGGAACAGGCCTTCACCGATATGTCTTCTTAGTTTACAAACAAAAGGGAAAAATAACTTTCAATGAACCACAACTCACAAGTAATGGAAAAGAAGGTCGTCGTAATTTTTCGGCAAAAAAATTCGCTGAAAAATATAATCTTGGCGATCCAATTGCTGCAAACATGTTCCAAGCACAATGGGATCAGTCTGTTTCCAATTAAATAATTTTAAGTACTTTTTCACACATATTATGCATTCTAAACCAAAGGAATCTTAAAAAATCTTTGTCATAATCGTGCTTTTATAATAAAAATGCTTTTAGTATAGTAAATTATAAATTATAAAATGAGTCACAAATATTTTGCAACTTAAATCGTTTTTATACTTTTAATTTGAATTCATATTTTTTTCTATTTGCGATGTTATATATTATATATAATTGTTAATTATAATATAATTTTACATATCCATAGTAATAAAGAATAATTTAATACTTTAAAAAGTGATATTTTACTTTCCTTTTTCGAAATAGAAATTTTCTATACTATTCAAGTTTTATAAATTTGTTTCTTTTGCTTTCTAAAAAAAATGGATAAAAGAAAAGTTTTCTATTGTTAAAAATTCATACATTTTATACGATTGCTTAAAGAAATTTTTTCCAATTGACAAAGAAATATAATATAATTTGAATACTGTAGAGATACATAAATGTGGATGCACGGTGAATGTACTTTTTTTAATTGGAGGGAGAGAAGGTAAAAGTGTCAGTCTATTTTGACGCTGGGAACAAGAATGAAGTATTTAATCACAGGTGAGTGAAAAATATATTTTTTTAAATATATTTACTTCTTGTTTGAATTCACTTGTTTGAATTTATTACTCCTGTTAATTAGTGCAATTTATATACATTATAATTTAATTGTATATTATTTTTCAGTAAAAAACATTATTTTCTTCATATTACTTTGTTTACTCATTTTGTTTGCAAACATAGAATACTCCGTAGGTTATTGCACGTCAACGGAAGTTTTTTTTAATATGTCGAAGGTGATTGTAATAATTTTTTCTTATATAAATTATACTTTTGACCATGAGGTCAAATAATAAAATCAGATAATGAAAATAGTTGCAGTTAAAGTATAATATAAGTGCAAAAAAAAAAAAAATATATATATGAGGCATTTTACGTGAAATGTCCTAAGTTGAAATTTCAACTTCTTGAAAAAAATTGAAACTCGAGGAATTTGTTGTTCTATCAAGTAGAAATGTGACCCAAAAAATATTTTTGATTTTTTCGAAAAATTGGAGGGGGTAGAGGGGGGTCAATTTGACCAATTTTGCCAACATCGGCTACTTTGTGAATTTTTTCTGAACATACTTGTAATGGGAAAATTTTTTTAGAATATGTTTCTGAAAGGTTTTTTCGTCCTCTTTCCAATGGTGTATTTTATTTTTTAATATTTTAAAAATTTACCCTAATTTTTGATAATTTATATTTAATTTTCAATTTCCCAAAAATCGGTCCGTTTTTTTTTTAAATAAATTATTGCAAACGAAAGCTGAGGTTTTTTCCTATCGGCATGTAAATTTTCAGAATGCCCTTTTTTTTTGTTTTTGAGTTATTGAATTTCAAAGAATAAATTGCGGCGCGCAGCGTCCCGGGCGCCTCGTCTCACGCCGGTTGCCATGGGTTGCCACGCGGCTCAGTGCAACCGCGACGCAGCGCGCCGCAATTTATTCTTTGAAATTCAATAACTCAAAAACAAAAAAAAAGGGCATTCTGAAAATTTACATGCCGATAGGAAAAAACCTCAGCTTTCGTTTGCAATAATTTATTTTAAAAAAAAACGGACCGATTTTTGGGAAATTGAAAATTAAATATAAATTATCAAAAATTAGGGTAAATTTTTAAAATATTAAAAAATAAAATACACTATTGGAAAGAGGACGAAAAAACCTTTCAGAAACATATTCTAAAAAATTTTTCCCATTACAAGTATGTTCAGAAAAAATTCACAAAGTAGCCGATGTTGGCAAAATTGGTCAAATTGACCCCCCTCTACCCCCTCCAATTTTTCGAAAAAATCAAAAATATTTTTTGGGTCACATTTCTACTTGATAGAACAACAAATTCCTCGAGTTTCAATTTTTTTCAAGAAGTTGAAATTTCAACTTAGGACATTTCACGTAAAATGCCTCATATATATAGTTTTAGAAAAGAAGATTATATTTGTTTTAATATTGAAAACAGCATTCACTTGTTATGTAAATTACAGGTTTTCTCCTTTTCGGAGTAACTCTCGTGGCTGGAGACGTAAAATCAAAATTTGAGGATGCAAAAATTGTTTCTGACATTTTGGACTCAACACCAACTGAATTAATTGAGGTAATTTATTTATTTATTTCAAAATAATTAAAAATAAACTAAAATATTTTTTTTCCGCTTCAGGTAAAGTATGGAAATATAACTGTCGACCTCGGAAATGAATTAACACCAACAGAAACAAAAAATATCCCTTATATTGATTATAAGCATGAAGGAGGGCTTCTTTATACTTTATCGATGACAGGTAAAATTTCAATTTTTTATAGCTAACAAAATTAATTTTTTCGAGAAGAATAAAACCAGCCAATGAAATTTAAAATCGAAAGTTATTTTTATTCTGAGATTTATTTTTATTATAAAAAAAAACAGAAGGAAAAAACATCACCGAAATATATTAACTGCGTTTCACAATCTTCCAGTGAAGAGTCAACTTTCACTATAAAATAAACCTGTTTTCTGATGTCGCTAGCTTTTCAATTCTTTTAATTTATTCCTAGGTAGTTTATTTACTTTGTTGTTAATTTTTTTAAGTAAATAAAATTCAGTACTGAAATATTTAATAAAAAAATAAAACAAATAAATTGAGAAATAGAATTTTAAAAATAATTTAAAATCAAATAATTAAAAAGTATATTCTGAAATATATTCTGAAAATACAAAAATGTAAATAAATATTCAGAATTGTAAATATTATTATATAATTACATAAATTATAACTTGAAAAAATATTATTTTGCAAATAACTTAATTAAAATTTTTAATTTTGCATTTTGCAAATAACTTGCAAAATAAATTTTTTTTAAAAAATTATTGTATTTGCTCTGCATAACAATTCCAATTAAAATAATTATACATATTAATAATAGAATAGTGAAATTGATTTATAAAAAAAAAATTTTAACTATTGTATTTTCTCCAAATGTAAACAATTTCAATTAAAATAATGGATTATTTTAATAGTTGAATAGAATTGAAATTGATTTAAATTTTTCACAATTGAAAATCATAATTGCAGATCTCGATGCTCCAGTTAGAGGCTATAATCGTGAGTGGCAGCATTGGCTTGTTGGAAACATTCCCGAAAATAAAGTAGCGAAAGGTGAAGTGCTCACAGAATATTTTGGTCCAGCGCCGCCTAAAAATGCCAATCCCCACAGATACGTTTTTTTGCTTTTTAAACAAAATCAAGGAGCCATTACTTTCGACGAAAGACGACTTAGTAACAGGTAATTTATTCCAGTTTATTTTTCTTTTAATTTTTCTCATCAAAAATCGAATCCTATAAGAATATTATTAATTTGCACAAAAAAAACTCAATTTAAATATTTTTTTGAAAATCTAGAGACAAAATGAGAAGTAGATTCTCGATAAAAAAATTCGCACAAAAATACAATTTAGAAGGACCAATCGCTGGGAATTTTATGAGAGCAAAATATGATGATTATGTACCAACTGCTCTCAAACAATTGGGTATATATTAAATTTTTTATCTCACTCTAATTTTACACGAAAAAAATTATATTTTTAAATTTATAAAATTGAAGTAAAATAATTTTTTAAATGAATTTTATTTTTAATTGAACATTTTATTAAAGAACGTTTTTAATAGAATTTTTTAAATGAATTTTGTTTTAATAGAACATTTTATTAAAGAACGTTTTTAATAAAATTTTAATAAAATAAACTATAAAAATTTGTAATGAAGATAAATTCTTTTCCTTTGGTTTTTAAAATAAAAATGTTGTTTTTGTAACAAAAAGAATATTTTTAATTAAAAAATATCTAAAAGTAAACAGATTTAATCTAGTAGAGAATGTTTTTTGATGGAGCGTTTTTTTTAATTAAATTAGACACAAAGTACTAATTGAGGAACATTCACTTTTATTTTGATATAAAACACTTATTTTTTTGTTACGCTATCGCAATGAATATCACCATATTACTTAATGAAATATTAACAGTCAAAGTTAATATTTTACGTGATAAATTACATGATTTCTATACACACACTCTTAGAATAATTCAAACAATCGTCAATGATAAAATTTCTTACAAAAAACATAGATATTTTAGAAAAACACTCATTCTCCATTTTCTATACGCACATATTTGCATATATATGTAATATAATATTAATTTATTATATTATGTATAACATATGCATCATGTTTCAATTTTTCTTTCTATATATATAAAGTAGAAAATAAATTTTTTTCGATATTGATATTTTTGTCATTATAGTAATGATTATAGAACATTTATATTAAACTATCAGCGTTTTATTTTTTTCGTGTTAAAATTAACATTTGCTAACATTTATATATAACAATATATATTTGTTAAATTAATTGCGTAATATTTTGCTATTTGGTATATTAATTTTGTAAAATATATTTATTACTTAGAAGCCTCTTTTTAATGAGAAAGTATTTTTTTTCGAAAATTACACCGATTCTACTGCAGCTGATATTTATAAGTGTTTTATAATAATGTAAAAAAACTTTGAGTATTTTGTTTTTTCTCTTTTCAATACGAAAACTTAAATTTTTCTATATAACGTTACTTCGAATGCAATCTCAACAAATAATTTTTTTTAGAATATCTAGTTTTTTAATTTAATATATATTATATGTACATTATATGGCGGAATTGATATCAAACACCTCTTAACGATATTTCATTTTTTAAAAGTATAATGACTAGAAAGAAACGGGCGTGCAAAAAGAGAATTTATACAGAAAATTGAATACTCCAATTTTGTGAATTATATGACAATTCAGAGAAAGAGTAGGATTGTAATTTATTTGTAAAAAATAAATTCTATTCGGTAAAAATGAAAATTTTCTTTCATTGAAATTTTTTTTGGTTCAAATAAAAGTCTTATTGAAATAAAATATTTTGTATCTATTTCAAAAAAATTTACTCGAATCAATTTCTCTGAATATTCATAAGGAGATAGACTATTAGTTGAGTAAAAAAATATTTTGGAATTATATTCAACTCACACAAAAGAGAAACCAATCAACGTACAAATTTTGTTTCACACAAATCACATTCCTGGTGAAAAATATTACGTTTAAAATTCTTTACTTCAATAAAAAAAAAGTTTTTTAAATTGATAAATTTTACTGTAATCTTGAAATATCTTTCACCAGTTCACATACTATGGCCTAATTGAAAAATTTTTATATCAATAAAATAATTTATTACCCTACAAGCAATTTATTATTAAACAAATTTTAAACTACTGAAAAATTGAGCATATTCATGTGTCATTTACGACATTTAAATTTTGAATGAATATTTGTAATATATTAGTTAAAAACTAAAAATTTCTTTGTCAAGTAGCCCATTAATATTTGTTTTTCTTTGTAAAAAGCTAGAGCTGTAGTGTAGGGACGAATTTACGTTAATATTATTTTATCAATTGCAATAATTGATCCATAATAATTTATATCAGTTCTTTCACACGTTTATATAATTATATATATTTTAACATTTTCCAACACGCATTTAGTGGAAGGAAATATTTGAGCACGAAAAAAGTATGTTTCATGTGCGCCTTAAAGTTAAAAAAAAGAAAAAAATGGAGAAAAAAAAGTGAAGGGTCTAACCAATTTACATATACATAGCAATATTTTGCATTTACATTTATAGAAATTCTTATAACAAATGCGAGTATAAATTAAATAACAACCTACATAGAAAAATCTTAAGATATTTTACACAAATGAATTAAAATAGGTGAAAAAGTTAAAAAACTATTATTATCTTCAAAACCCTTCAATTTTTCTTTTCTTTTATAATTACTGAAATTACTGAAAAGTTTTCAGTATAAAAAAATAGATACTGAAACCTTTCTGAAAAAATATGAAAGAAAAGTTTCAGGAAAAAAATAATGTTGAGCCCTGCTCAAAACTTTTTACGAGAGTATAATAATCTTTTCTTTTTTGTTTTTGATAAGATCTGAGGGAAATTAAAAAATTTTTTTAAATATCTATTCACTGAATTTAAATTAAGAGGAGATCAGTGTTTAGAGTGATATTGAGACATAATTCGTGATCTCGAATATCTCCCCAACCACCATTACCTTTTTTTAATTTAGTCTTCTTTGCCACTCCTGCAACTGTCAATGTGAGTTTAGTCGGATACAAATGATTTCGAGACGATTTCAGCACATTACGAACTTTTGCTATCACTGCTGTCGATTCGCAATTTGTCTTTTTGTGATGAACTCCACTGGAAAATATATATGATATATATAACGAGAGTTTTTACAATTGTTTTTTATTAACGAAAAATGAACTTAATTTTTCTAAAAAAATATAATAGGTACTAGATAGATAGACTAATTACTAGAATTAAAAATTCTGATAATTATATTCAATTAAGAAGCAGTATAGACAAAAATTTTAATTTGCTTCATTTTCTTAGGTACTATTTATTAATTTTTTTTATTGCTTTTTATTACGAGTGTTTTGCATACACTTCACACGAAGTACGAACTTAAATTTTATTTGATTTCTATATTTTAATTCTCTTTCTTAATAAAAAATAAAGGATGATTTAATTAATTTTTTCATACATTTAACCAAATATGGAAAATTGTTTTAAAATGGGAATATTTTTTTTTATTATAACAATGTTAATTCGACACTGAAGGGGCTGATATTATATTGTTGATAGTTCCATAATATTTCACATTATATATAACGATTAGAAATGTTTTAATTAGCGAGAGAGATTAATATATATGGCAGCATTCGAATTGAACAATAATTACGACAATCTCTAGTGGGCGGTATCATCAGAAATTGAGAACATATATAGCATTTATCAACTATAATTAACACTCGTGTGATGTGTACGATTTTGTCGATTCTTCAATAAAATTTGCAAGTATAATTATTTTTTTTATTTTTAAGGGGGCAGTCTGGGTCTTTTGCACGTATTTTGAAGAATTTTTTTTTCATAGTGAAATTTATTTAAACATTTAAAATTTTTTACATATTATTACACATATATATATATTAAACTAAATAAAAAAATTTCTTTCTATATTTTTTGTTGTTAATAGACAGTATAAAAAAGTCTCGAAAATCTGGTTGACATGATATCTCCAGTCAGAACAGGCGGAATCAAAAAATTCAAACAGTATATTAAAATATAGGTAAGTGGTTATAGCCTCAAGTAAAATAATAATTTTTAACCTGTTTTTTAAACAATTTTAGTTGCAAAAGAAGGGTTAAAAAAATAAAAAGTCCGTCATTTTGTTATTTTTCAATGAAATTTGTTTATTTTACTTCCAGCTATAACCACTTACCTATATATTTTAATATGCCGTTTGAATTTTTTGATTCCGTCTGTTCTGACTCGAGATATCATGTCAACCAGATTTTCGAGATTTTTTTTAAAGTCGCCATTTCTTCGCTATTAACAACAAAAAATAAAGAAAAAAATTTTCTTATTTAGTTTAATATATGTGTAATAATATGTAAAAATTTTAAAATGTTTAAATAAATTTCACTACGAAAAAAAATTCTTTAAAATACGTGCAAAAGACCTAGACTGCCCCTTTAAATTAAAAAAAAAATTTTCGTTTAATGGACATTTTATTTAATATTATTTTTATCAAGCAGAATTTCGTGGGTTCAATGAAAATTCAGCTAAATAAAAATTAAGCTAAAAGAATTCAGTTAAATAAAAATGTACTTGTTAATAAAAATTAAACTAAATAAATAGTTAAATAAAAACTCAGCTAAATATTATTCTGTTAAATAATAATTTAGTAGTTAATAAAAATTTAGCTAAATTTGTGTTATGTTAAATGAAAATTTAGTACTAGTTAATCAACATTATGCTAAATAAAAATTAAACTAATGAAAAAATAATCAAAAAAAGAATTTACTACTTAAGAAAAATTAAACTAATTCAAAATGAAGCTAAATAAGAGTTTAGTTAACTGTATATTCCGTTAAATAAAAATTTAGCAGTTAACTGAATATTTTCTTTAGAACAGTAGTTATACATAAATAATAATAATAAATAATTAATTCACCAAAAAAATATTTTTTTTCTTTGATTATAATGCTAATAAGTGATGGTAATTAAAGTAAGTCTAAAAAAAGAGGGAAATTAAAAAAGTTGTACCATTCTCCAATGTGAAAGACTCGAGGAGCTCGCATCATCATGGCAATTAAGCCGGATTCAACCCTAGGAATAGTACCGGCGCCTTTACTCGGTGGAAGACAGCTTTGAGCCACATGTTGAAGACTCCAATCCCAATTATAATCGTCGTACGAGCAAAATTGACTGGCACATTTTCTCAGTTTGTTCCATGTCACACGATTAAATGCCATTCCCATATTGTGTTTACTCGATATCCACGGTGTCACTTCCGCCTGAAATATAGTCACAGTTTCGTAATTATTATTTTCATTCGATTTTTCTTTCAATTTACTTTATACCTACCTATTTTATTTTAATATTTTATCTTTCATTTATTTGAATTTGATTTTTTTTTATTTATTTCTTTTAATTTAATGCAACTTAATCAAGAGACACATTTCTTTTATTTCTATTAAAAAATATAAGTATTTATTTATTTTAAAATAATTACACATAATATACAAAACAGAAAAAGAAATAAATACTACATATTCAAAATGCGCAAATGTCGTCTCTCAAAAGCAGCGTGCCATAAATAAATTACAATGCATTAGGCAAATTAAAAAAAAAATTATCGTAAAATAAATAAATTTTTATTGTTCCAATATTAAACGAACATTTTAATTGAGAGAAATATTAGTTTGATATAAAAATAACTTTAATTATTTATCGATTTCTCTCTCTCTCTCTCTCTCTCTCTCTCTCTCTCTCTCTCTCTCTCTCTTTTGTTTTTAATTTCGTTTGAGGGAAAAAATGTTATCATTTCTTTCTACGTCACTTCAGCAGGCATATTCTTTATAATCGATTTTATAAAAAATTAAATTCAGATATATGTACATATTCATTATATATTTTATATATATATTATTTCTCTCGTGCGGCAAACATTTAATGTTATAAAGGATCTATCTAGACAAGTGGTTATTTACAGACCTGATTTTATTAATAGATATCACTATTCACATATAGGTATAGCTACATTGTATATATGGCAATTTACATGCAATGTATTTTAAACCCTTAATTATTTATAATAACTGTAATGAAAATCCTTATCATTGAGTTAATATTATAATATATATTATAACTATATTATATGTTACTGCGGTATACTTTTACATGTAATACAATAAAATATAATAAAATATAATGATATATATATATACTGTAATATTTTTATTATTATTATTATCTATTACTCTCTAAATTTGCATTAGTAAAAAATTTTATACAGTACCGGCCAAAATTGTCAGTCCACCCATTTTTGAAGGAATGAAAAAAATTTGTTAACATAAAATTTATGAAAACTCAAATTTTTTTGTTTGTTTATATTTTGAAAGACAATAAAATTTTGAAAAAAATAAGACCTCACAGAAGTTATTTGGCAAATATTTTTTCAAAATATTATTAAAAAATCGTCATTTTCAATGTTTTACAAAAATTTGAATAACTTCTAAAATAATAAACGCTTTTTAATAATCTTAAGCTTATTTTAAAGGCCATTTTCTACGGAATAAGAATTACTTATAGGCATTAACCTGTAATTTTTTTCTTGGAATAAGCATGACGTCAAAGTTGGACAAAAAAATTAGAAATATTTGAAATAAATTTTTTGTACTAACAACTATTCTAGAACATATATAAAACATGATATGGTGTAGATTTTTCAAGAAAATTTAATAAAAAAATATGTTTGAATTTCAAAAATTATTTTTCTTTCAATAATATATTATTTCAAATTTTTTGAATTTTTTTGTCCAACTTTGACGTCATGCTTATTCCAAGTAAAAAATTACAGGTTAATGCCTGTAAGTAATTCTTATTTTCTTATTCCGTAGAAAATTACCTTTAAAATAAGCCTAAGATTATTAAAAAGCGTTCATTATTTTACAAGTTATTCAAATTTTTATAAAACATTGAAAATAACGATTTTTAAGAATATCTTCTACAAATTTTGACCAAATGACTTCTGTAAGGTCTTATTCTTTTCAAAATTTTATCTTCTTTCAAAATATAAACCAAAAAAAATTTTAGTTTTCATGAATTTTATGTTAAAAAATTTTGTCATTCCTTTAAAAATGAGTGGACTGACAATTTCGGACGGTACTGTATACTAATTTGAATTAGTGACAGACTTTTTGCTTTTGAATGAGTATATTTTACTGATAAATTAGTAAACAATTACAATTTTTTAGTAAAGTTTATTAATTCAAAAACAAAACCTCAGTCACTAATTCAAATTAATAAACAGTTTTACTAATTCAAATTTAGAGAGATAATTATTATTTAATATATATTTATTAATATATTATTTATTATTATTTAATATAAATTTTTTTTTAAACTGAACCGTTTACAAATCTAGTGAATATAATCATGCAGTCAAGTTGAAGGAGTAATTAGTTAATCAATTTTCTATCATGCCAACTACCAGTATAAAATAATATCTGCTGGTTTTATATTTGTCTCATGATTATTTCGATTGGTAAATTATGTAGGTGAAGTGCTTTTCACACATCATCTTAAAATTTAATTAACGGAAATTGTATTAAAATTTGATAATTATCTAAAATGTTGAATATAAAATTTCAATTATTAATCACTATAAAGTATAATCAATTTTGTTAATTGCCGGACGAGCGAATAACTGTAAAGTTTTAATTATTGTGGCCGCCTTTCTTTTTAAAAAAAATGCCATATAATTGGAATTTTTAAATATCGGAAATATATTAAAATCTTCACTCTAAATCTGAATCAGTGAAAATTTCACTGATTTCAATTCACCCAGGTAATAGAAGCCTAGATATATGCTAGCGCCACCACTGGAATTTGCATGGCAGTTTATCTCGCCGACGTCTTCTAGCGCCTTACATGGCGCGAGCACTTTCCGCTAGAATGCAACATAACCTCAAATTTCTGTTGCATAAAGTGTCAAAGGTGTTTGTTTTTATTTTTAAAGTAAAAGGAAATGTTTGCTTGTAGAATATTGTGGCATTTAAAAACAATAATAGTAAAGGATTCTAAGTATTTATATATTTGTAATTGTATTAAATTTAAATATAAATTAATATTGCATTATAAATTTCTTGTTCATTCGTTAATTTATACACTTATTTATAAAAGAATTTTTAGTATATGAATGTCTTATTCAACCTCCAAGAAAATTTTTAAATATATTTTAAGTAATTAATCTAACGATTTATCACCAAGAATAACAATAAATACTTTTTTATGGATCAAATATATTATTAATTTCTCTCCATTAGAATTAGAAAACATAACCTTAAACTGGATTTATTTTTTCTTTATTTTTAATTGACCTGACAGAAAATATTTACTGATTTTAAATAGGAACTTAATTTTTGCAATTATTATTATTATTATTATTATTATTATTATAAAAAAATTGGTTAATTTCAAAAATTTTAATTTTAATGTTTAACATGTGTAACTATTTTTGACACTGTTACTCTAAAGAAATAAATAATTTTTTATGGAAATTTAATAATAATTTATTCTTAAAATTTCCATATTTAAAAAACAATTTTATACAGCAAATAATGATCAAAATTATTATTAGGCTTGGGATTAAGAATAGGTTACCGTTTTCTGAATTAAAATCTTACCATAACTTTAAACGAAACGTGTATTAACTCTTCAAATACGTTAAAACTTCATTGTTGGCAGATAATTACTAAATGTTTTTTATATGTACACGATTTTTTTAATTATATTCGTCAAAAGAAATGACATAGGAATCATTTTTTAATTCGTGAAATAAAGTATTGGCAGGTGAGGTTATGTTCATTCTAGCACTGCGAGCAGAATGCGAGAAAGGCGCTAGACTACAAAAGTGTTTCAAATGGTCTCAGCGCCACTACAGCGCAATGGAACGCGAGAGTGGCACCATGCTAGCGCCACCAAATTTTTCTACTAGGGCAGTGGCCCAGTTTTCTTTAATTCATCAGTGGGATTTCACTGACAATCAGTGGTTTTTACTGATTCTCAGTGAAATTCCACTGATTCATCAAAGAAAACTGGGCCACTGAATTGAAATCAGTGAAATTTTCACTGATTCAGATTTAGAGTGTTAATAAAAAAGATTCAAAATTGTTTGAATAAAAATATAATAAAAATACTTAATATATTTCAATTTTTTGGTGTTTATTTACGTTTCGACTTATTATATTAAATATCTGTGTATTGATAGAAATTTTCGTTTCGTTTTTTATAAGTCATTTATTATGTATTGTAATATCTACGTGTAAGTACACATTTTAATTTTTAGACGTTTCGACAACCCACGTTTGTCATTTTCAATATCTGTAATTGTAAAAATATCGCATATACCAATTACTTTAATTAACTTAATTTTTAAACATAATTTTAACTATCATTTATCAATTATTTTTAGATTTTTTAACATAAATACTCACAGAAGTCTTTCGTATAAAATCAACTCCATTAACAACCTATACTTTGGCATTAGTTTTGCAATATTGCACATATTTTTTCATATATTAGTACAGGTACATAACACTTAATTTTTGTAGTCTCGTTTTTATTTCGCATTGAAGTTAAATTATTTTTGAGTTAAAAACTATTGTCAAAATTATTTTTCCCATATTAAAGTCAGTTTGTCAGCAAGCATGGGCACAAGACATTAACAGGTTATGTTTACAGCGTGAGATAAGGTTACATTCTAATTAGGTTGCGTTCACAATTATTTAGCATTCAATTAAAGTACCAATCACCTTCCTAATTAGTTTTGATTTAAATAATTCTTATGTTAGAATTTTTATCTATTAAAATTTTTAATTTTTAATTTTTTAATTTTTTTTCTTTATTTTTTTTTTTTTATTTTTTATTGACATTGAAAATCAAATTTTTGTAATTTTGACTTAATTTTTCAGTGTCTCTTCTATAGTTAATTGATTTTTTGTTTTTAATAATATGATACATTTCTAAAAAATTCCGCTTTAACCAATTAGGTTCAGTATTCAGTACTTTTACATTTTCGAAATCAAACAAATGATCTTTGTCATGAGAATGATGAACAAGAGCAGATACATTTTCATCTTTAGTACAAGAATACTTGTGTTCATATATTCTTCTTTTCAATTTTCTCTTTGTCTGGCCAATGTATACAGAATCACAATCTTTACACGGAATGCTATATATGACATCCGATTTTTGAAGAGTATGCGTGGAATCCTTCATAGAACGGAAGATACTTGAATTATTATTATTAGTTTCAAAAACAGCTTTCATATTATGTCTGTGACAAATTTTTCTAAATTTTTCATGAGTACTATGAGTATATGGAAAAACAATAATTTTATTATTGTCAAAAGGTTCGTTTTGAGCTATTAGATTGTTATTTATTATTTTACGATATCTATATTGTATGTATTTTTCAATGAATTTTTCCGGATAGTTGTTGTTTAACAAAGTGTTTTTTATTAAATTTAAATTTTCTTCATGAAATCGTTTGTTTGTCAACTTGATGCCTCTGTCAACTAGATTGTAAATGACACCAATTTTTTGACTAACATGCGTATTCGAATTAAAATTTATATATCTTCCAGACCATGTTGGTTTCCTGTACCAATTGGTTATAATATTTTGGTTTTCGTTTTGGATTGTGACATCTAAGAAGTTTATCGCTTTTTCTCCAACCTCCATTGTGAAATGGATTCTTTCATTATATTTATTAAATTCATTTAGAAAATATTCAATCTTTGTTTTCGGAATCAAGGCGACAATGTCGTCTACATATCTTTTATAAAGTACGGGTTTAAAATTTAAATTATTTAATACTTTGTTTTCAAAATCCTCCATTACTAAATTTGCAATGGATGGAGATAAAGGGGATCCCATAGGTGTCCCATGAATTTGTAAGTAAAATTTTCCTTCACAACAGCAATAAGAATTATTTAGGCAAAATTTTGTTAAAGCAATAAAATCTTCTTTTTCTAATTTTGTGTGTTCTTTAATTAATGACCATCTGTTTATGATGGAATCCAATACCATGGAGGATGGAATATTTGGATACATAGACTTAACATCAAGAGAAACAAATACATGATCATCTGGAATTACACTTAACTTTTTAATAAATTCGATAAAGTGCCAAGAATCTTTTACATAAGAATCAGTTTTCCCTATAGCTTTACTTATAGGATTACTAATGAATTTTGAGACATTATACAGGGGTGAATTAATAAAAGATGTAATCGGTCTCCCTGGCATCCCATTTTTGTGAATTTTTGGAAGAATATAAAATTTTGGTGCGACACCTGTGTTAGATTTTAAATGTTTGATTATGTTATCTGATAAAGAGTTTTTTCTTTTTATCCGATTCATTAGATCTTCCAATTTTGTCTCAATGTTTTGGGTTGGATCTTTTTTTAAAAGTTTAAAGGTTGATGTATCTGATAAGAGTTCTTGACACTTATCAAAATATGAGTTTTTATTCAAAACTACTGTGGCATTTCCCTTATCTGCTCTTGTAACAATTAATTCTTTATTATTTCCTAAAAATTGTTTAGTTTTATTTTTGAGATCAATAAATTTGTTATTCTTATTAATGTAATTATTTTGGTTATCATTAGCAAAAGTTTGCAATTCAAAAGTAATATCTGCCCTAAGTTCATCCTTCACTTTTGTATCCATTTTATAAATGCTACTTTCTACATTAGATAAGGTTCTTTCGATAATGTGGTTCTTATTATAATCCAACGTATTGAACCCTTGTCCTAAACTGAGAAAATACATAACTTCGTTTGGAATCTTAGTACCTGACTCATTAATTATCCATTTTGAATTTATTTTTTCTTTTTTGTCAAAATTATAGTACTTTGATTTTAACCAATTAAATTTATTTATAGATTTACTGATAAGATTTTTAATAAGGCGATTAAAAATGATGTATTGACGATTAAAAAAATTATTCGATGTGCCTTGGTCTAATTTATTATATAGTTTATATTCATTGAAGTTAACTAAATTTCTTAAACGTTTGATATGATTTACTGTGTCTTTAATTTCTAAATTTAGAATTTTAATTTTAAGTTTAAAAATTGTGTCATACATTGTGTCATTAAATTTTGAATCGATAAAAAAACGATCGTAATTAAAACAATTTATAAGATGACTGGGTAACATACGGCAGGTTCTGCATCTTAATAGAAATCTCAATTTGTTGCACGCTGTTTCCATTTTTTTCTTATAGAATATCCAGGACTTCATGAGTTTTACTGTTGTTACTCCAAATTTTGTTCTGATGTCATCAAAGAACATCATGGCGATATCAATTTAGTACGACTAAAAAGTCTATTTTCCAATTTTGTAGTAATTTATTTCAATTTTTTGGTTAACGTGGGTTGTCGAAACGTCTAAAAATTAAAATGTGTACTTACACGTAGATATTACAATACATAATAAATGACTTATAAAAAACGAAACGAAAATTTCTATCAATACACAGATATATAATACTTAATATAGATACTCTCTAAATTCGAACCAGTAAAAATTTTTACTAATTAAAATTAGTAAACTTTTTGCTTTTGAAATAGTAAATTTTCTAATAATAAATAATAATTTTATGGTAATTTCTACTAATTTATCAGTGAATTTTACTAACTCAAAAGCGAAAAGTCAGTTACTAATTCAAATTTAGAGAGTACAAGTACTGAATATATTTTATAAATTATATTGCAAAATAATTGCAATAATTTATTTTAAACGAATATTATTATGTTTAAATGAAAGAGAGAAATATAAGCGGAAATCTTCTGCCGCACAAAAATGTAAAATTTCTATAAGGGGCCATACTTAAATTACGTAACGCTTTTGTTGGTCATTTTAGACCCCCTCCTCCCCCATGTAACAAACTTTTACATACATTAGCTGAGTATGAAAAATATTGTAACCCCCCCCCCCCCACACCCCCTAAAGCGTTACGTAATTTAAGTATGGCCCTTAAGTAGAATATTCCAAAACTGATGGAAATAATAAATAATAAAAAAATATACAAATAATATTAAACATATTTACAAATTTAATACGCGATTTAACTTTGAAATATTTAGTGCGCAGATTAAAATCAGCGCAACTAAATATTGTACGGTAATTATAATTTCAAGGTGCTAGTTAATTAGTTGTGTTTATATATTTATGCGAGTTAAAATGTGAGCGCGGAAGGAAATAACTCAACGAGTAAAATGCGTCTATTCACACGGTTTACTCGCCAGTTGTATATATATATATATATATATATATACACATCTAACAGAAAAGTATCTTGGGAACGAGTAAATAAGTAAAACGTAAATAGTCGTTATTTTTGCACGATAACACAGGACATGTAGGGCGAGGAGAAAAAAATTTCTTGCGTGTGACTTTTCTTATATACTCATGAATAGATCATCATCTTTGCTGAATATTTAAAGTCCTTTTCATACATTTCAAATAACATTTTTTAGTCTAAGATTCTCGCATCTATTTTATTATGTCAATACATCTTTTTCCTTTTTAAATTATTTTTAATCTTTTATTCTTTTGAATTTTATTGGTATTTTTATTTTGTAATTTCAAATTTCAATTTAATCAAAATTATTTATTACATATCAATGATTATTTATGAGCTACAAATTCTGAGCGCTGAACTGCACGAAATTGTTTGTCACGGTTAATATTTATAAAAATTACCGAAAGTTATAAAAAGGTAAAATTAAATTAAATGTTTCGAAAATAATTAATTTTTTGCAGATGTGACGTAATATTATTTTAACATTTTAATTTGATGAAGAAAAAAAATAAATTTCGTTTTGAATTTGAACGTTCGGAACTTTAAGGGCATGAATATTTGATATTAATACCTATATTAATGTCAATAATTATTTTGTATCAATATTAATGTCAATAATTATTTTTCATACCTCAGGCACAAAATAGGCGCTTTTTATCCATCTTCAGTATCCACTTTCAATAATTACTTTTTATTAATATTAATATCCTCTCTAAATTTGAATTAGTAACTTTTAATAATAAATTAGTAGAAATTACTATTTATTAGTAAAATTTACTAATTCAAAGGCAAAAAGTCACTAATTCAAATTATAGTAAACATTTTCACTAATATAAATTTAGAGAGTCAATAATTATTAATTTGTAATTAATTTTATACTCATCTATATTATTAATTTTATATTTCGTATTACTTAATTACATAAAACTTTTATGTAAAAAATTATTTACTAACTCGTAAATAATAATTTGTTAATTATTAAGAAAATTTGCAAAAAAGAAACTAAAAATGTCTAAAAATTGTAAATAAAATTCTACAATTTTTTTTCTCATATCTATATTCTACTTCTAATTTGTACTAAAAGCAAACACATCCCAGGAATTGTTTTTCAATGAACAGAAATTTTATATATATAATATAGTGAATAGCTTGGAAAAAATCAGAAAGTATTCATGCAATCAAGTTATGTATTTAAAATAAGTTGTCTTTGAACCAGTAATTTTTCGCAGTATTTGAAGCAACTACCATTTAATTGACAATTATTTGATAATGGTTTACATATTATTGTAATTCTTTATTTGAATCAAACAAATTTTTTGTTGACTGCAAACACTTTTACTATTTATATATAAAGTACTCTCTAAATTTGAATTAGTAAAAATGTTTACTAATTTGAATTCGTTACTGGTTTTTTGCTTTTAAATTAGTAAATTTTACTAATAAATTAGTAGAAAAGACTATTTCTACTAATTAATTTCAGAATTTGTAATTAGTAAATTTACTAATTACTAACACTTTTACTAATTCAAAGTTAGAGACATAAATACTTAAAATAATTTTTTTTATATATTGAAGAGCGACTTTCTGATTTTTTTTTTGGTGAGATAACAAAAAGGCGTATAATGAAAAAAAGAATGAAAAGGTCTCGGATGCAGAAAGCATTTATAATAGACCTTTTGATAATGATTGTAGAGGCTGGGCAAAAGATGATAAGCCCAGTTGGGAGCAGCAAGTGCCGACTGTGCGTTGTGATAGGTGGTGGGCAAGTTGATTGACGGTGACTCGCGCTTCTTTATTCCACGAAGAAGCTCCTTTTGCATTGCAGCGTTGATACCCAGATGCTATAATAGCGTTGCACGTGAAACATCCAGGTTTTATTTCGCGAAAAATCCCTTATTAATTATATTATTACATCCAAAACAAAGACAAATTTAATAAAAAGAACATCCTTTCTTTTTATATTAATTTCGTTATTTTATGTAACGATTATTATTAAATTATAATATTATTTTCAAACTTCCAAAATTAAAAATTAGGTACAACTGTATCACAGTTTTTTTAAGGATATCAAATTGAGAGAAAAAAAGATACGTTTTTTCTCTCAATTTGATATTCTTAGAAAAACTGGTAATATTATGGATTTAAATTTAATAATTTAAAATTTATGATTGTTCAAGTTTACCTTTGAATTTTTTATACGAAAAGGAGGAGAAAGGGTAAATTAATAAAAGACATACCGTCTTTTACTAATTCCAATGCAAACAAAATTTAATTCCGTGTCGGACTAAAAATTACATTTACTACTAGCAATAAAGTATAATATCGATTCCAATCAAAATTAACGTGTGTGATAACGAAACGGACTTGTTCTACTGACAAAAAATTATGAAACTGTGTTTTTGTCTGACTAAAGTTGTTTTTACTACTAATAATAAAAGATGGAAATTTTCATTTTTCTTGGCTGGCTATAAATGTCTAATGAATTAAGGGAATTTAAATCTTTCTTGTCTGACCATAAACGACTATTATTTAAGACTACTAATGGAGCACTCACAGCTCTGCCTGCCTGCGCAGGCAGTAATTGGAGTAAGAGAGAAAGTCAATTAGAGTGAAAGAGACAGTAAATTCAAATTTGTATTGCTGCCTACTAGCTGTGAGTGCGCCTTAACCCTCTGAGCAAAAGGATATCCCAGGGATATCCTAGAGATATCTCGCGGGATATTGAGATATCCCAGGGAGATCCCTGGGATATTTGTGACATCTCAGAGATATCCCTGGGATATCCAAATTTCCATCCCATGGGAGACTCGCGTGGGATATCCAAATATTCTCCACACGGGATATGCTACGTGAGAAATAGTAATATGTTGAAAAATAATTAGAGCTTTAAAGAGTTGAAAAACCATTATTAAATTATAACCAGAATGAGAAAAAAATTATTTCAAAAATTAAAGATTATTTGACTAATATCAAAGTTATTTGTTTGTGATTTAATAAACATTAGTTGAATTCAATAAAATGTTTTTTTAACGCTAAACATTTATTGTGTGTGGGTTTAAACTAATTTTGGTCAATTCATTTTGTCTATTACTGATAAATATTTATTGGTTAAAGATATTTACAAGAAACTAAAAAAATGTGAAAGTTAAACATATTAAACAGCAACACTTTTAATCACACAGTGCAAAACACACGCTTCAGATCTAATGACGCGACGCCATGGTCGCCATGACACTCAACAGCTGGGATGGTCGACGCATGCGCGTGTAAGATTATATGAGTACATACTTATAGCGAATTCGGTTATCTGCTCCGAGAGCGATCTTGCTCGGTGTAGGAGTATAGTTTACTCTGCTCTCAAAAAGCTGTGCTCTACTCTGAGGCAATCTATGACGTCATGAACACTGGCAAAGTTTGACTGTTTTTGGAGCAGGAGCACAACATGAACTGCTATGGTGTAAAGCATACACTGCTCGTTTGGCGCGAAGTTTAAATTTAATTAAACTTATATAATATAATGTAATATAATATTATATTTATTATATTATATATATTATTATACATTATATTATGCAATATATTTTCTTCTTAAATGTAAAATTATTTTACTTAAAATTAAATATTTTATGATGTATACATAAATAATATTTTTAAAAGCAAAAAATTTGATATTTTTATTAGAATATTAAAATTTTATTCGGTCAATGTTTTGATATAGCAGAATTGTTAATCACAAAATTATCGAATAATATTTCTGATATAAATTTTGTTTACACTATTTGACATTTTGAACTACTAACAACAATAATAAAATAAGTGAAAAGGTTATTTCTTTGAGACCAAATAATTACTTTATAATGAGTATTTTTATTTAAATATTAAAAATATTGAAAATTATTTACTGTTTTTATTAAATATTAAAATATTGAATGTTAGTCTTTCTCTAAATACAAAATTCATTATAAAAAACATAATTCGTCTTCACTACTATCGCTAGAGGTGTCAATTAAATCTGTTAGAAGTGAAATTTTTAAATTTGCCGCTTCTCTTGAAATTTTTTTAAACTGCACTAACAAAATTGTGGGAGAAAATTTTGTTGCACCTTTCGATCCTTGAGAGTGCACACTTCTTAATTCGAACACAAATAACGATCTGCGCCGGAGCAGTGCTGCCAAAACGAATACTCGAAACGATCTGCGCCGGAGCAGTGCTGCTAAAGCGAATACTCCAAACGATCTGCACTAGAGCACATTTGTCAAACCGAACATGCTACTCCTGCTCTGGAGCACTCCGAGAGTGCTCCGGTGCAGATAACCGAATTCGCTATTATAAAATTTTATTTCTTCTTGTTTAAAGGGGAAAATATACTGGATTTTCAGTAATTAATCTAGTAATTTATGCAGTATTTGTTTAGAATGTAGTTAGAATAAATATTTGAATAATTTAATATATATCATCTACCAAAAAAAGTAACTAAAAAATCGTACACTTTAAGCTGAGTTTATAAATATATTTATTTTCCACTTTCGTTGATTTAATGCAACAAATACCCAAACAAACTTTTTCTAATGTAAATGCGTTAAATATAATTTCACAGCTCTTTGACACACACTCTTTGACACTTGGAACGACTGCATTTCGTTTCCTGCACATGCGCTGACATATCCCACACGGAATGACCCACGAAAGAAAACTTTGCATATCCCGTGGATATCCCAGGGATATCCAGTGGATGTCCTTGAGATATCCAAATTTCCGTCCCGTGAGATATCCATAGGGATATCACGGGATGGAAATGGGATAATCGCGGGATATCCCGTGCTGTGAGGGTAACAATAAAATAAGAAAATATTTCCTGTCTGGACAAAAACGTCCGTTACTACTAACAAGAAAAAAGGGAATTTAACTATTTCTTGTCGGATCATTTCTTGGCTGTTACTATTAATAACAAAAGAAAAAATATTTCCTGTCTGACTATAAACCTTTATTACTACTAATAATAAAACAAGGAAATTTAAATGTACCTTGTCTGACTATAAACGCCATTTACAACTAATAGCAAAAGAAGAAAATTTAACACTTTTTTGTCTATACCATAAACGGAAGTTACTACTAAAAACAAAAGAAAAAATATTTTCTGTCTGACCATAAACGAATGTTACTACTAACAACAAAAAGGAAATTTAAATCTGACTTGTCTGACTATAAACAACATTTACTACTAATAACAACAGAAGGAAATTAAAAACTTTCATTGCAGGAAATCGAAATGTTTTGTCTGACAATAAATGTCATTTACTACCAATTTTTAATTTATAGAAGTCTAAAACATTTGTCTAATAATATTTGACTTTATCTGCTAGTTATATGAACTTATAGGTTTATAAAAGCTTTTCGTTTTAATAATATAAATGCATATATAGTTTATTACTATTCTGTCTGACAATATCTCCCTTTTACTACTTACAACAAAGTCACTTACAGTTACAGTTTACGCATTTTTTATCCAAGAAAAAATGTCTTTTGCTAGTAATGATATATATTCCCTCGAAAAGAAGACAAACGAAAATGATTAATGACGTTTAGTCTGACTACAAACATTTTTTACTACTATTTTCTAACTGCCTAATATAAAATTTTGTTAAAAAAACTTTTTTCCAGTAAATTTCCCTACTGATCCTAATAAAATTTGTATGGATATAATAATAACTATTGTCTCTTTTTTTACTCATAATAAAAAAGTAGAAGATAAAAATTTTCATATCAAAAATCAAAAAAAGATCACTCTCAAACAGGGGGTAGGGGGTTTCAATTTTACTAATCTTAATCTAAAAAATTATTATTATAAATTAATTTTTTTAAAAAATTATCCTTATAAGTAATACTTGAACAGTCATCCTAAAAAAGTAATTAAAAAATAGAATTTTCCCTTAAAAAATCAATGAGTATTAATTTTTTTAAAACTAATTTTTAATTTTTTTAATTTGAAGTTAAAAAAAAGATAAATGAATATTAATTTTTTAAAGGAAAATTCTTCGATTTTTTTAATTGTTTTATTCAAATTTATAAATCTTCGCAGTTGAAATTTATTATTAAATCGACCAAAAAGGAAATATAATATTATTAACAAAAAACGGAAGAAGCAATAGGAAGCGAAATTATAAAAATGGAGAAATTTTTATACATGAAACGAATTTTAATATTTCGTTGTTTCCTCTATATTTATGTATATGGGTAAAATCACTGTACTTTACTAGAAAAAAATATATAAAATAAAGTATCCGTGCATTATAGTTCTAATCAGATGAATATGATTTATAGCTTAAATTGTGCTCCATTTCAAAAAGAAATCCAAGCGGAATTTACTTATAATATCTCCAGCATTTATACATACATTTCTAATTTGAATTTTTATCGCATTTTATTCAAGTCCTGAATTATTAATAGATTAAATAATTTATACAAAAAATAAAATAAATGATTATTATATATTTGGATAATAGAATCATAATATGAAACTAATTTTAATTAATAAAAGCAAATAAAAAAAGTTATTATTACACTGGAAAAAAATTTATTTCATTCAAATAATCGATTAGTTGTCTCATAAAATATTTGTATTGTCTATTATCAAATAGATATTTACTTCATACAAATAAATTTTATTTAGTTATTAAAATTTAATTTTACAATAATTTCATAGAATTTGAAGAAAATACAATAAACTACTTGTCTATTATTAAATAAATATTTACTTCTATAAAATAATTTTTATTTGAGTCATTTGAATTGCCTTTGCTTCAAATGCTGAAATTATTGCGTAAAATTAAATTTTAATAATGAAATTTATTTAATATTAATTAAATAAAATTTACTTGAATGAAGTAAACATTTGAATGAAATAATTTTTTATTGAATCGTTTATAAATTAAATAAATAAATGAATGTTTAGATAAATTATCATAATTTCGAAATTAATTTCAATTAAAATAACAGAAAGAGTAATACCCGTGTAGAAATTGCCATGTTATGGCCTACACAATGATCATAAGATCTGGACCCGATTTGGGCCATGGTTAAATTTCTACACGGGTAATATTGAAAAATGATATAAAAATACAAATTCTCACACATCTGGGAGTTAAGTATCAAAAAGTGCAAATAATTAAAAACTGCGAATCACTTAAAAATGAACACTCGACAATTTATCATAAATAAATGCCATTTAGAAAATGTTAGAAGAATTATCATCAGAACAATAAAATAAGTAAAGAGTAATTTCACTTTGTTTGCGGAATAACAAAAGGAAAATAAATTAGAATTGTTATGAGTTTCCCACACAAGAAAATTTGTCTTTTTGCGAATATTTGCGATAGTAAACGATAACATATTATTAAATTTGAAAGAAGTTAACAATTAAATAACATATTATATTAATAATTATGTGAGAAGAATTCAGTTGAGTTTAGAAGAAGAAGACGAAAAAAAACGGTACTTACTTTACGACTGAAGTCGGCGTAGTAATTGTAGGTTTTCAGATATGTGCCCAAAGAAAGAACGTTACAACGTTCGCAACTATGTTTACTGGTGCGTTCCATTAGTTTAAGAACATGAAGAAAATCCTCGGCCACGTAGTGATCTTCCTCGAGAAAAAGAACCATTCCTGTGTGATTTTTCAATACTTCCAATTGATCGAAAACACGATTTGCCTTCCACCACCAGTGATGTTTGGTTTGAGTGAATTTTGCCTCTCTGTAGTGGCCGTACAGATCTGGATGCTGCGCGTTGGTACATTTTAGTAGTAATGCTCTGAAACAAACATTTTTTAAAAAATTTAATTACATTCAATTAGTTTTTGAAATTTTAATAAAATTCTTCGCAGAAATTCAATTATTTTCATAAATAATAAAATTCTTCGCTGAGAATCAATTATTTTCAATACAATTTTAACAAAATTCATATCAGAAATTCTTTGTTTAATTTAATTATTTTCAAAATTTCCAATAAAAATTATTATAAAGACTACATCATTTTCAAAAAACTTTAAAAAACTCTTCAGAAGAATTTAATTATTTACAAAAACTCTAATAAAATAGTTTTAAATAATTTAAATTTCTATCAATAATTTTAATAAAATTTATTCTTAAAATTATCACTTAATTACAATTAATAACAAAATTTATTATATTAAAAATTTTTTTTTTAATTTTGAAAGAATTCAATTATTTATTTTTATAACCTGTAATATTAACTATTCTTCGAAAGAATTCAATTACAAATTCCAATTAGTTAAAATTTTTACCGACAATTACTAATAATAAATTGAAATTAATAATGATTTTTATAAATTTAAACTTAGAGAATGAATTAATAAATAAAAGAACAACCCAATTCTTTGTAAATAAATAAATAAATTTAATTATACAATGCTGTTCATAAATATTAATTTTTTAGATAAAATAAAGACAAATATTAATATTAGTTTAGAATATTAAATTAAATTTACAAATTAAATTATTATTTTTAATTCAAAACAGTTTTGTTTAATTAATTTTTATTTATAGTCTTCATAACTTTACAACAGAATTTAATTAATTTTTAAATTAAAAATAAAAGAAAAATTTTCCGAACGCATTCGAAATATAACAATATTTATATAGAAGAATATAATTTATTTTAATTGAAATTATTAAATAATTAATCTAAAGTGTAACGTAAAGGAGAATGCCGGAAGTTCGTTCAAAGCCGAAAGGCAGGAACTATGTATAATAAATATAGAAGAATATAAAAGAAGAAGAATTAAGATTAATTTATAAGAAGAAAATTTTATTTAAAAAAAGGACAATTTTTATCAATTTTACAATTTTTTAATTGTAAAATAATATTATTATATTATTATATAATTAATAATTAATTATTATTATAATTAATTATTAATTAATATTATAAAATAATATTATTATTATAATATTATAATATTTTTATATTATAATAAAAAATTGTTTAAGAAATAGAAAAATAAATAAAAATAAAGTCAGGAAATTATATTAATAAATGAAAAGATTAATTGTATTAATTGATAGATAGGAAAATTACTCACTGCTCTTTTCGAATGTTTCTTGGACAATCATGTGAATCTTCGCCAGGAAAAGTGCGCGGATGCGTTTGAATACTGTGCGGATAGAATATTTGCATTACACGACAAAAATCGACGCTTTGCACAAGATAATTAATATCCGGATCCCAAACATCGTGACTAAAGACAATTAGAGTCTGTTCAATATCTTTGGCCTGTGCTAAGGATACAATTAAATGTCTCAAGTACGTCAATCGCGTGTGCACTTGAACGACAATCACAGGTGAATCCGAAGCCAATGGACCAAATGCTTCTTCATTAATGACTCTCTGCTCGGCATTTATTTTTTCAATGTGACGACGAATTTCGTTTATTTCATTTTTAGTCAATATTCCCAATGTTGCATTTGCCGTTATTGCCGTTGCATTTTGTCTCTCCTTTAAAAACCTGATGAATAATTACAAAAAAAACACCAATTATTTAATGCTTTTATTAAAAAGTAATTTTTATTTATTTAATAACTAAATTATTTATATTTATATTTGTGACGCGTCGCGAAGAAAAGCACCTATTAAGAAGCATATCGAAAATTTTACAGGTGGAGGAAAAAAGGAAAGAGAAAATCAACTCTTAGCACGAATTTCTGTTTTGTAAATCATTATTACGAAAGTATTTCAGATAAGTATTTGATAAAAATTAATTTTGAGTTCAGATAGTTAAAAAGTAATCTTTAATTTATCTGAAACAATCATAATCCGAAAATCGTTTTTTTGCTTCTTAAGTGCTTTTCTTCGCGACGAGTCACATTTAATAAAATGATTCATTAATTTCGCGTGCCAACGCGAAACATGGTATTCGTATTATTATTTTCTTATTACTTTCTTATTATTATGCAAATAATTACAAAATTTTTTATTTTGAAATATAAATTTCAATTTTTGAGTAATTTCAAATCCAAAAGTAAAACAAATAATAATATACCTATATATAATAAAAATATAGACCGACAAATTAGCTCAGTCGGATGGATGCCTCGCTTGGCAGTCGTTTAAGGACCAAGGGTATAAGTACCCTTGGTTCGCGCCCATTTGGCTTGGTATTTTTCCGGCACGTGAGATAATCTGAGCGGGAGGTTTGACGTCGAGGTATAATGATGTGCACCGTCGATTATTGTCCGGTACACACCATTAGAACTCGACTGTCGATAAAACCGGTTGTACTCAGGAGAGGTTTTCTACAGTTTCCCTCTTCTCTGGCGAGAAAACCTATTGACGGGTGGTCCAGGCGAATGCGAGTACTCCTAATAAAAGTCGTCTGTAGACGCAAAATTAGGTTAATATACCTATAGATAAAATTTTCATAGGTAGAATGGTTATGCTTATAATCCAAAAAAGTATTTCTTGGGGACTCTTGTCGAAGTGCGTAAGGCCAATAGGGCAGGAGTATAAACAATAAAAAATAATAAAAATATAATTTTAATAATATTCAATAATCAAATTTTAAATTATAATTATTAACAAAAATTATTATTTCATAAAGTTGAAAAAAATTCTTTGTTTAACCCTAGCTGCTAATGCTAACTTATCCCCACTCTATCGCCAAAGCACGTAACTCCTATAGTCCCCACCAGACGTCCAGAATGACGATTTTTGACGATAACGGTCGTTAGCATCAGCAGAGAGTTAATTCAATAATTTTCAAAATTTTCAATTAAAATTATAAAAAAAATACTTAATTTTCAAAAAAAGAACGAAAGAAATTCTTCAAAACAAATTAAATTATTTTCAAAAATGATAATAAAATTCTTCACAGAATTCAAATACTTTCATAAATTTTTTTTATGAATTCTTTATTTTTTTACATTTTTCGCCGAAAATAAATTATTTTCATTATAATTTTAATAAAATTTCACGAAAGGATTTAATTATTTTTTAAAATTTTAATAAATTTTTCAAAACAATTCAATTATTTTTCTAAATAGTAAAATTCTTCTCAGAAATTCAATTATTTTCAAAACAATAATAATTGTAATCAAAATCAATACCTAATCAAATTTTTATTTATAAGGGGAGGGGGGGGGGGTAAGGTCTGAACGGTGAAAAAAGCATGTTTTTAAGAAATGAAAATTTCGAGTATGGATTCACGGGGCAAGGATAGTTAGAGATAATACGGCACGGTAAAATCCTGTTAATGACATTGCAAATTTAAAAAAAGTGTTTAATTGTGTTTAATGGTGCGTAATTATATACAGAAAACGAAGCTTATTGACCAAGAAATTGGTGGTCGACTGAAGAAAATTGGTTAAACCTCTGATTCTAGTTCAGATGAATTTTAATAAAGTAATTGCAATTCAGAAAATGTTCAATACATATTTTTAATACTTGAGATAACAATATTGAATAGTCTAAATCCAATAAAATAAATAAGAAAACGAAAATTTACTGAATTTCTATAACATTTTTAGCATTCGAATTCTTTTAACTATCCTTGCCCCAGTGCTGGGGCAAGGACAGTTAAAAATTTTTTTTTACTTTTTCATTCGTATCTCGTAGGGATTTGAGTCTACAGCAAAATAATGTGTAGAAAATTATAGCCAAATAACCAGGCTTTCCAAAAATACTTTTCGTTTGCAGATACATATAACATATTCAAGTTTGGCCGCTAGATCCGAAAAGGTCTTACCTAACTATTCTTGCCCCATCCTCCCCTATATTATAAATAATATAAAAACATTTTGTATGGATAAATTTGAGATTTCAAAAAACGTTAGGTCGATACGATTTTAAAAATTATGAAAAGAATAAATTTGAAAATGCAAAAGGTACCCGGGTATCTCGTCAGTCCCATAAAGGTAAATAAAATTTAATCTTAAAGTTATTACCTAATTACATTTATTAACAAAATTGATTATTAAAAATTTTTTTTTTAATTTTTTGAAAGAATTCAATTATTTCAGAACTTTTAATATTTACTATTCTTCAAAGGATTCAACTGTTTTCAATATTTTAATAAAATTACTTGTTTTTTTCAATTATTAACAAATACGATTAATATTTTAAAATCTCGAAAGAAATTTTTCATAAAATCCAATTACTTTCAACATTTTCAATTAAAATTATTGAAAAAACTACATTACTTTCAAAAAATTCTAAAAAAATTTTGAAAAGTATTTAATTTAGATTTTCAAAAATTTTAATCAAATTCTTTGCAAGAATTCTATTATATTCATGAATAATAACATTTTCCGAAGGAATTCAATTATTTTCAAATATTTTGACGAAATTCTTTACAAGAATTCAATGATTTTTAATACATTAATTTTAAAATTGAAAACAATTAAATAAATGGTAGATATAAATAATAAATAAAATCCAAAAAGTTCTGCATGGAAAAAAATTTAATCTAATGTAAAAAAAATTAATAAAAATTATTTAACAGCGTCTAAACAATTTTTATTATTTTTTTTCACTCCCGTGTTCGAGCCCCACAGCTGGGCCCTCGTGGAAAATCCATGAGGAGAAATCCACGAGGGCACCAGCAGGGGCCCCGTTCTTTGCCCTTACGGTTGCCCTGCTCAAAAATTTATCTAAGTTTCAAAAAAAAAAAATTTTTTGTTAAAAAACTTTAGTTCAGATTGCATTAAATTACGTTTCAAAGCACCTGAAATAAACATTAAGTGACATTTTTCCAGAAATCCTATCACAAAGTTATGGAAATTTACGAGGGCACCAGCAGGGCCCCTGCTCTTAGCTATTATGAATGCCCTGCTCAACAATTTTTCTAAGTCCAAACAAAAAATTATTGTTTATAATCATTTTAAACAATGAAAAACACGTTTTTAACAAATATTTAATGTTGCTTTTTAAAAAATATAAAACTTACATAAGGGCAAATCCTTGAGGGCCCACGCGAGGGGCCCTCATGGATTGCCCACATCATTACCTAGAAAAAATTTCTAAGTCCAAAAAAAAAAATTTTTTTTACATCAACAAATTATTGTTTATAATGATTTTAAACAATGAAAAACACGTTTTTCACAAATATTTAATGTTACTTTTTTTGAAAACAATGAACTTACCTAAGGGCAAATCCTTGAGGGCCCACGCGAGGGCCCTCATGGATCGCCCACATCATTAACTAGAAAAAATTTCTAAGTCCAAAAAAAATAATTTTTTTTACATCAACAAATTAACGTTTATAATGATTTTAAACTATGAAAAACGCGTTTTTAACACAAATGTTTTGACATTTTTTTTTTTTTTTGAAATGATAAAAATATCAATTTATGAATATTTATAATCTATTATTATATTATTAATATTGTTATTATTATTATTAAACTATTTAATTATTTGTCATGGTGTATTAGTGTCAATAAATAATTTATTGAATCATCAAAAGAAAGTCAGCAAGTCACCTACAATAAAGCAATAATTTTCAAGTAGGTCCCGTAGCATAGTGGTAAGATTGTTGTCTGGTAGTCAGTAGGTCGTAGGCTCAATTCCTGCGTGCGTCAGATTTTTTTTTTTTTTTTTTGGTCACGATTTAATTAAAAAAAGTAAAAATTGTTAAATAAGAATGAGGGCATTTTAAGAAATCCACGAGGGCACCGCATGGAAAATCCATATGGAATCCATGAGGATTTTCCTCGAGGGCACCCATGAGGGAAAGCATGTCATGCCTTCGAGGACTCCGCGTGGATTGCCCCTACGGATTCCACATAGCAAGAGGGCAATCCACGAGGGCCCCGCCGGGAGCCCTCACCATTTTTCTGCACGGGCTTCTTTTAATGAATTTGTTCTATTGGATTTATATATTTTTTTAATAATGTAAATTTGAATAATATTTTAGGTGTCCATTATTTAAAAAAAAATTTTTTTAAATATAGTTATTTTTAAAAATTTTACTAAAATTCTTTGCAAGAAATCAATTATTTTCAAAAATAGTAAAATTCTTCGAAGGAATTCAATAATTATTTTTAAATGTTTTGCAAGAATTCTATAATTTTTAATAGGTAGGCATTAATTTAAAAATTAATATTTAAAAAATTTTTTTTTATAAAGTTAGGAAACAAAAAAACAACTGAATTTTTAATTTTTAGGTATAATTATTCGACTTACTATTAAAAAGTAAAATTCTACCTGTGTAATTCTTGGGGTACTAGTGAATAAAGAGTTTCATTAGATGATGTTTGGCTGGACCAGTCACGAGTTGTGAGATTGATGACGTGAATTTGAAGCCATAGAAATGTCGCTAAAAACACAAGGACCAACGTTCTCGAGAGAGCCCCACGATATGTTTTGCCTACTCCAACGATTGATGAGGCTAAAAAAGAAATGCATACATAAATTAGTTCAAGATGAAATTATACTGCTGTTCACAATTTTTTATTAACATCATATTGATAACACTTTTTTCACACCTTTTTTTAATAAATTAAATAAAAATTAATCTCTTCAATTTATCCGAAAGGGGAAAGTTTTTTAGTTTACTTTCTTAACTTCTTAAGTTCTTATACATTTAATATTTATATCAAATTTCCTTTCATTTCTTTTTTTAATAATGCGTTTGGATAAAATAGATAAAATAATTCTTGATAAAAAAGCGAAGTAATAAAAAATATCCTTTCTACATGTAATATGATAAATTCCCAAGGGTAAAATTATTATTCGTCGTGGCACACTAAATGTAATAATAATCGATTTATTACGATACTCATGTGGGTTATTTCTGTTTCACCCTGATGCTTTGATGATTTATTCGATATTTCGAATCATCTATAATAATTGTTTTTGATTTATAATGTACCTTTTGTCGTATATTTAAATTGATATCATTAAAAAATTGATTTGTTTCTATTTCAAGTGAATATCTATTATTTGCGCGGTAAGTACGAAATTATTCTCTAAATTTAAATTAGTCAAAATGTTTTCTGAATTAATGACTGACTTTTTGCTTTTTAGTAGTTTTACTAATAGATCAGTAAAAATTAATATTTGTTGTAAAACTATTTGCTATTTACTAATTCAAAAGCAAAAAGTCAGACACTAACAGTAAACATTTTTACTAATTCAAATTTAGAGAGTAAATTATAGAAAATTTATTCGAGCAGCTTGTTGAAAATGAATTATGTTAACGAGAATTTTTTTTGCTTTTTGGATATAAATGCGTAAAAAAATCAGCAGGCGCCTAAATATAACACGTCACTTCGTTCCTTTAAAATCTAGTGAGCAAGAAAGTGTATTGCGAATGTCGACATCTGTAAGTCTCTCTCTCTGAAGTTATACATAAATGCACTTGCTATAAAGTTATTTCCAGTACTGACGAATTTATGCAGGTATTTTAAAATATTTATATAAATGAAGGAGAAATTCTAGTTTTAATAATTTCTTTATACATATGATGAATGCTATAAACGAGCGTTATTTATACACTGAAAAAAAAATTTATTTGAATCAAATAAAAATTATTTGATCCAAATAAATCATTTATTTGGTTATAATCCAATAAATGTGTATTTGAACCAAATACATATATGTATTTGACCTAAATATTTTATTTTATCGCATCAAATAACTATTTATTTGAATCAAATACAAATTATTCAAATCAAATAAATGGAATATTTCAAACTAATAAATAATTATTTGAATCAATTATAGAAATTATTTAACTCAAATAAATATTTACTAGACCTAAGTATTTTGTTTTATCGTATCAAATAAATAGTTATTTGTATCAAATACAAATTATTCAAATCAAATAAATGGAATATTTGAAGCTAGTAAATAATTATTTGAATCAATTATGAAAATTATTTCATTCTATATTTAATAAAAAATTTTTTTTTTTAATATTTAGTATTTTTTTAAATTTATTAATATACTATTATATTATATTTATATTTTATATTATATATATATATATATTAACTGATTTTTTAACAGACTTTTAACATTATTTACAAACATGTTCACACAGTTTTTATTCACAACACAACACACAATTTTATTATTTTAAATAACGCTTAAAACGAAGAATGAAAAATATTCGCTCGCATGTGGGATCGAATTCGCGTCTTCCCGCCTACAAACGCACCTATTTAAACCGCACGGCCACTGAGACTTATAGTGAGAACTCGGGCTAATCCACTATATCAATGCCACTGCCGTATATTCTGTATCCAAATAACACATTTATTTGTCGAAATATTTTTTATTTGTATTAAATAAATGAAATATTTAAGTGAAATAAATAAATGAACAGTTTCAAGTAATTCATTATTTTCGTTTCAAATAATTATTTAATTGATTGAAATATTCTTTTATTTGTCTTGATAAAATAGTGTATTAACTTTGAATAACGAATCATTCGGATTAAATAATCAAGTTTATTAGAATCAATAAAATTAATTTATTGTGTCAAATAATTTTTATTTGCATCAAATATACGAAGTATTTGAGTGAAATAAATAAAAGAATTGTTTCAAGTAACTCATTATTTGTATTAAACAAATCCATTTATTCAATTCAATTAATTATTTAATTGAATCAAATACGATTTATTTGGTTCAAATAAGTGTGATTCAAATAATTCAAGTTATTTGAATCAAATACATATTTTTTTGATTCAACTAAAAAGTATTTGAATCAATTAAATATTTTTCAAATAATTTGAAATATTTGAATCAAATAAATTTTTTTTTCAGTGTATGTTATTCAGATTATATTATTTTAGTCCACATGCAAAATTAATAAACATTTATCTCAAAAAGGTATTTTTGAACAACCTGCATGAATATTAAATTTTAATAATTGCATTTAACAAATATTATTATCATTGTCTCTTGTCTCCGAAACAGGAAGAATGAATTTAATAATTAATTTTATAATAATTTTAAACATTCTATAATATCGATTTTATTAAAATTTTTGTAACAATGATTTTTCACTTTTTCCAAATTTTTTAAATTAATATTAACTCATTTTTGTGTATATTGACAAATACAATGTCAATGTATTTTATTTTATCAAATGTATTGAGAAAATAAACTAAAAAAATGTGAACACTTAATTTTTAATCCAGTTTGTTATTTAAAGTGGTAAAAGGATTATATGACACATATGTCTGCAAATGACAATGATAATAATAATAATAATAATTGTCTGTGATAAAATTTGTCGGAGAGATAAACGGAAGTAAGTTTCATATAAAATGAACTCTAGAGAATAAATTTTAAAAACAAGAGTAGAAAACTCTTTATTTCTTAATCTCAGACGTACTATATATGTAATTGTGAATTTTTATCTCAAATGTCTCGTGAACAATAATTATTGCAAATTACTCTTTCGATTTTGTATTCTCTTCTCACCGTCTCTTGCTTTCTTTATTCCATCATTAAATAATAATTATAATTGTTTTTTTAATATAAAATATTATATCGATCAAGCCATCAATATTATAAAATATTATAGTCTAAAATAAAAATAGAATATTATATAATACACTGAAAAAAATTATTTGATTCAAATAATCGTTTACTTGCACGGAAAAAAATTAATCTCTAAATTAGAGATTAAATCTGAGATTTAGGCATAAACTATCACTGGAATCGGACGTAAGATGTAAGCAGATCACTAAAACTGAAATTTGGTATTATATCTAATCCGAATATTAGTATTGTGAAGAACACGTATTTCTTATGCCTAAAAATGATATTAGGAATCTGAAATTTTATGACATATGGAACATATGTTCTAAACTATCAACTTACTTGAATAAATTCAAATCTAATATATTATTTGAATAAACAATATTAAAAATTTTAGTCGTATATTTATATAATTCTTATTTTTGTAATAACTCGATGTAATAAGAATTTATAATTTATCACAATTTAGAGTGAGAATTATTCACAAAATATTTATATTGTTTTCCCTGTATGAACTATACATTGACAAGTATAAAAAAGTAGTTGGATATTTTTAAAACACAATACGAATTTTATATTTTTATTTCATTTTTTTGTTTTAACGGCGTTGGAAGGTCTGTAAAATTTGTAGGTTACAATTATCGCCCGACAAAATACGACACTGACTGATTTAAATGACGTGAAATAGGTAAATAAACATTTTTCAACCACTTTTTCTCTAAACACAGACACTTTTTACAAAATAGGCCAACATACAACGAGTAGGAATCTTCTTAATTACCTAAATTCAAAAGATGGTTTAAATTCATGCAGAAACGCGGTTGTAAAATGTAAAATTGGAAAGTGATGTAATGCTAAGAATATAACAGCTGGACCATTGTGCTCTCTGCATGCTTCTGCCCTCTTCTGGCGACTGGCAGTAATCCGCTTCTTGTTGTCTGTCATTACATTACTATTTCCAATCATTTCCAATCATTTCCAATTTTACATTTTACAACCGCTTGACAACCGCATTTCTGCATGAATTTAAACCATCTTTTGAATTTAGGTAATTAAGAAGATTCTTACCCATTGTATGTTGGCCTATTTTGTAAAAAGTGTCTGTGTTTAGAGAAAAAGTGGTTGAAAAATGTTTATTTACCTATTTCACGTCATTTAAATCAGTCAGTGCCGTATTTTGTCGGGCGACAATTGTAACCTTAAAATTTCACAGACCTTCCTTCACAGACCTTCGCTTTTATTTGGATATTTGAAAATAAAATTAATAATTAATTAAAATGGTTTAAATCTTTTTTGTCACTGATTAACTTAAAAACCCAATGTACCTAATTCATATAAAAAAAGTTGTGAAATTAACAAATCTCTAAATCAGAGATGTGAATTTATGGCGTTTTCTGGTATAAAGTTTGACAGAATCAAACACAACTTATCACAGTAATTGTGACTATAATGTTTAATTTAGATACACTTATATTTCACTGGACTTCAAATTAATATTATTTCAAGTTTAGAGATTAATTTTTTTCCGTGTGACTATATTAACAATTAAATATCTGAATCAAATAATTTTTATTTGTATATCAATTAAATGGTATTTGCTTCAAATAAATTTTATTTTTCAATTTCGATTCAAATAAAAATTTTTAGTTCAAATACAAATTATTTTATTTAAATAAAAATTATTTGATTCAAATTTAGAGAGTAAAATTTATCATACTTTATTTGCCCAAAACACACGGAAAGAAAAGGTCTGGAAGAGATATCCATAAAAATATTGTTGAGCAGAATATTGTTGTGTTATCCAATTCAATGGAAGAGACAACTTTCAGAATGGAACACAAAGAGAGATTTTGTATTAATATTTGTTAAAATTGGCAATAGAATTTAATATATT